CAAATATTCAGGCAAATGCCTTTTGAAGCTCAAAACCCATCAACACTTTTCAAGTAACTGGTATATTTCTATAGCAGTTGCTTTCACAATGCCCTGGACGTTATAGCAATGAAAATTGAATTTTGGAAGATAATAAAAATTCATAGGCAAACAGATATTGATTCTTTGAAGGTTAAGTCTAAGTAAAATATCTGGATGCATTTTACTCTTCGGAAGGAGACAAAGAGGTATGGTTTTTTTTTACGGAATAAAATGTTTTAATACGGATGTATGGGAATTCTGCAGGCGGCTTAAAAGCCAGCAAGCATTGGGTCCGATTAACGTGAGCAGGAATAACATCGCCGGTGAAAAGGGTTAGGAAGATCCAAGTACTGATGCATACGGATAAGAGCACAGGAGAGGTCTAGACGTCACCTGACGCGTACGGAACCCTGGATTACAAACGCATTCGAAGGGCTAAATTTTTGCGTGCATCGACTACTAATCAGCGCGTTCTATGAGTATGTCGAGGAGAGTCAACAGACGCGCCGCATATCTTGCAACGACGGTAACAACAAAAGGAGAAAGCGGGCATACCATCTGGTCAGCGGATGAGTGTAGTGAGGTTAGATCCATGTATCTGTGGCCAATAGATGTGCCCAAGCAAAGTACAGCCTTGGCTACTGCATCGCTCCAGGGATATCAAATGAGTGGGTTCTGAATAACTTATTACGATTACATATTTCCGTGCACAAGCTCGTCTTTATTGATTTACTTAACTGACGATGAATTCGATTACTGCAGTGTGTACTGAATTGTGTTAGCTAACATTTCGGGTATTCGGGAATAGTCAATAATATTCAGTAATAATGTCTTCAATTGCCATTTTTTTCTTATATTTGCCTCAGCAATATGACAACTGCTGTACGCAGAGTAGTATTGTCAAACAGCCATGTGAAGGTACTGAGGTTGGTGTGAAGTAAAGCCTATAAATAAGTTAGGAATATGCGTACGTTTGTAGCTGTCAATTTACCCACAACGTCGGGATATTGTTAACCTAATTGAAGTGTGCGTGCTTTATACATGACTCCAACATGAATGTGAACTTTTCGGTCATATGAATCTGAAATCAGCTAAAACTAGTTAAACGGGTTTGCGTTCATTTGGGCAACCTAAGTAAAAACTATGTTAATATAAGATGCATGTCATGACTTCAATTGGTAAGGTTAAATGTTATAAATATTCGTGTTAAAATCACTTGATGGTAAGGTAAAAAATTACGTGTTCATTGTTATTAGCATACCCAGCATGGGATAATATATTTAATGGCATTACCGTCGCGCACGTTTTGGTTAGGCCAAGAAGATGTAAAAAACAGATTGGTATGAGCTGCAACTCTAGTCTTTCATGGACGCAGAATGACCAAGCTTTGCGAATGTTTCCTTTGCCCCGAATAGCTTTTCTTTCATCCCTTTTAGGAAGGATGCCTATCAAATGACCTTTTCAGAATGAATAAAACAACATATACCATCACTTGCAGGCGTATATTAGGCGAAATATCAGCAGTGCCCAACAACTTTTTTAAACAAGGCCACAGATTATGGTGTGCACACCTGGTTCCGTATGATTTTCCACCACGTCTATTAGCCAAAATTTATCATACGCGAGCACAATCTGCAAGGTTAGTTTATTTCTGCATCGCAGTTTTAAGCCAAATGAATTATAGGGATTTTTTTCACTTTCCCCTCAAACTTTTTACAAGATTAATAGCCACTGTTTTCGGCGAAAGACATTCTGTCATGCAGACAATTCTGCGAAACCAGAAGGTATTTATGACCACCGGTTTGACCGTCATGCGCAAAAGATTATTTATAACAATTTGTTTCCAGAATTATGGTACAGATAAAATTAATTTAATTTCCTGACATATCCATTTTCATTTAACTTTCAAAAAATCGTCCAACAGGCTGTGACATTCGTTATGTGATATGACATGGACAATGGATAGTAGCGAGAACTGGCTAAATTTGTTGTATATTATCCTGACAGTTACGTCTTGATATTCTTCTGATATGAGCGTGGATTGAGCGGTTCGTACATATTTTTACGCAATGAGTAGATGTGGAAAGACGCTATTTTTTATTCTATATCTATAAATTTAAAAACTGAAGATTTATATAACGAGTGTAACCAAAAGATACAGAAAAGTCCAGAGTACGGGGTGCAAAAATTGGGGAAAACAAAAGTGCAGGTCTCTTACCATTCTACGGTTACCTATGATTAAGGATTCTCGACAGAATCACAAACTTCAGGAAAACAAATTTCTTGTTCCAGTGATCACATCTTCTTTTCAAAAGCGTTATACTTGTAGCTCGGATCAGCAAATAACATTACAGAAATAAATGGTGCACTCTAGGTGAAGTAAGACTTGTTAAACTTTAAATTTAGCCGTGGCCCCAAAGTGCAGTGGCCATCAGCGTGCAATTAAATTAGAAAGCAAGAGCCAAACGGAAAACCGATGGTACCAACAAAAGCCTTGTTCCGTGTCTTTTCAAAATAACTTAAAAACCAGTTTGAAACCTAAAAAATGGCGTCATGTGCGTGTTCTCCGTTAGTTAAAAACAGAGACCTCCAACTGCGGAAGGCCACAGTGTAGCGGTAGGATTAATTCGCACACCTTCCTGAGGCTACCTGTTTCGACAACGGCAGCCAAGAAATGTGGCCTGAATTGGCCCTTCAGAAATTGAACATACACAAGACAGAAATATTGCTCGAAGTATACTCGTTTGGACCGCAGAAATGAGATAGGCTACGCCGTAGAAAAATGCCCTTAACCGATTTTTCGTCGGATCCTCGTCCTCTACGGTATATCCTGAATGTCCCTAAAACCGATCAGCTTCTCTATCTAGTTTCCATAAGAGGAGTTATTTCGAAGACAAAAAGGTGTTTAAGCCTGACTAGGTTTTGAAATAAAATATCATTACAGCTCTTCCAAATCAATAATACAATTGAAGCATATCCCTTTTACTTGATGTGCATCAATTTACTGCCCTTATATCCGGCGAAGATCTAATGTACTTTCTTCTTCAACCGCACAGATAAGAGACTTTGGACATGGCGGTAAAACTCTCGCCTTGGGTCAGCTGTCTAACGTGTACTTGATCCTGTATGAAGGCGGCAGCATGTCGACAACTGACCTCACTTGCAACCAAATAAGGTGTCCTAGGCATAAGCCCCAAGTCAAACATGACGGGTAGTTAAAAGATCTGCCAACGTGGAGAGTGGCCAATAAATAAATTCCGGCATTTGGTACACCTACCACCTAAGCTAGCCCTGTTGACCTTGTTGATCTTCATCTACATGACGGCACTGTTTTTAAATTTTTCCCGCACTGGAGAATCCAACGGCTGTTGACCTCAAGAACAGGCTATCGGAGAACGTTGCCGGACAGGCTATAGCGCCTCACTTTTTAAGTTCAAACCACTATCCTCCGTCCTCAAGCATGTAGGAACGAATATTTTTATTTCTGTTGACTGTTTATGTAATATGGTAAGCCATGGTTGAAAATTAGCCCCCCCTGCAAGTAACAATGCTGGCTCCGTTCTACAGTTCATTGGAGGTTAGGTTGGGTGGTTTTAAAGTCAGAGTTACGGTAAGCGTTTTGTTGACGGAATAGGTGCCCCTTGAAAGGTTCGCACAAGATCGCAGGGAACAAGTGAACTAGTTTTATAAACGCATCAGTCGTGCACTAGCATAGCCATGCTCAACGTTTAAGGAAACTTATCGCTTGTCAGTACGCAAGTCAAAATGGGCTGTAAAAAAACACTTCCGTCCCCTGTTGATTTTTGTCTTTCACTACTTCGACGTATAAAAAAACTTGCGGTTTCTCTCGGTAGTTACGACTTACAGCTCAACATTTTTGTCCAAACAATAGCATGTGCTGACTTTAGACTAGGAACCATTTAAGGGCAATAGAAAGCAAACAAAATGTGGACGCATTATAATTTTGCACCTACCTTTCACCCGCAAACTTTATTGTCTTTCTTGTAAAAACTGAATTCTATGCAGAAACTGCATCGAGTTCAACATATAAATTGATGAGCATACGGTTATTTTCGATAAATCCTCTTCAAACCTGTATGTCTTTATAGTAATTAACCAAATAAACTATGAATGGCTAGGGAAGGGCAAAATAAATAGCATTAATGGTTCTATTCTAGTAAACATGGTAGACTCGAATAATCGCGAGCATGTCAGAGAGGCTTTTTGAGTAATGTACAAGATGCTGTGTAGGCACTCGAACATTCTCGGACAGCATCAGTGTGCTACTGCATAAGCGGCTGCCACCAACCTACGGAAACCGGCGCTGTGTGCACAAAAGCGCTTATTAACGGAACGGCAGTTACCACGGCCGAAAGCCGCTAACTCAACCGCCCGCAGGTTATCAGTCCTCTCGGCTACCAGCTCCCCCACGCGAATCAGATTACTGACCCCAATTTCGTCCCTCCCCACCGATCCGGACAACCGCAAAATTTTTCTACCAACCCGCATAGTTTATACGGTTAATGAAAATGTTAATGTGCACAAAAAATATGGAGATCAAACCTATCGCAGTCAAGTTATCCTTTATCATGTTTAATGGAAAGTTTCGCAAGTTAATGAATTTGTTTAAATACTTTCTCTCAAAATTCTCCATATGCAGTATCAGATAGTTCAGGTAGGGTCTGGAAAAATGTGCTTTTTCGCAAGGGTTTGGTTTTAGTTATTTTTTTAAAATTAAATTGACAACGCTGAGTGAGTGCGTGATA